AACTTAGTCCTTTCCTAAATTACAGCTACAAAGAAAACAAAAAAAATTCGCTTCTTATAACTTTCTTCGGAGTCTCATCCATGCATGTGCATGGAATAAATATTCCTCTAAAAAAACGAGAAATAATTCGTAGGTGTCGTTTCACTTGTATCACAGCTCGTTATTGGCTGATCGTGACACAATAACTAACCGCTTAATGGCTTATTGAAACAAACAAGAACGTAAATGTCGGCTGTGTTTAGAAGACGTCTGTGGGGGAGAAATAAACGCGTGACGAGCGAACCCCAGAGGACGTCTACGGGGAGGCTAGGTGTCAAGGGTTTCATGGTATTATAGTTCTGTCCATGGTGTAATTTGAAAATACTAAGTTACCGTCCACCATGGGTTTCTTGGTTCCACCGGTTTCGTGGTTTCATATATATCGTTGTTTCAAAGGTTTTGTAGTTTCATGGTATGGTTTATTGGGTTTGTTAATTTCCTGGATAATTTAGTAAATGAATCGAAGGATAATGCCCGTGGCTGAGAGAAAGAAACATTTAAATGCGAAATTATAATCCTCTGATTATTTTTTTACATCTCTAACATGTTGGGAGAGAAAAAAAGAAACAAACAAACAAGAGGTGAGCGCACGTGCGAACGACGTAAACAAGCACTTTGATTGGTTGATTTTTTTATTGAAAGTGTGATTGGACCAGGGCTTGACAGGCTGTCATGTCAAATGAACTCTCGCAACGCCCCATAGATAAAAACTAGAGCGCATCACTTTTAGTTTATGTTTTACCGAAAGCGCTTTTTTGAAAACTACTCAAAAAACTGTTTCTAATGTATATGTAGAGAGAATCCAACAATATCACCAACTGCCGCTGCAAGGGCTAGAAAAGTAATTACAACTATGAAACTGACAGGAACTTAAAAACATGGAGCAGTTGAAGGATGTAAGTTTGACATAAGTGGGCTTGTTGGAAAAACCTGGATTTAATGCTGCGGATGGTGAAAGCTGTGGAAGTCAAAGAAAGAAAAGGTAAAAGGAATGAAACAAACTTGCTTTTATCTCCCACTCTGCTGTTCTCTGGTTCAATATGGTTGAATCTGCAACCGTTCTTGGAGAAATTGTTTCGATCACCAAAGTACTTGTCCGTACTCCGTATTGGCGTTCCGTATTCCTGCTCTGTCAACTTTTACAGCACTTCTGTTTGCTCTCCCCCGAAAAATGACTTCTTTGCCGTGAATCAGGGACGCCTCTACTGAAGGACTTCAGTAGTGCGTGAGCTTTTAAAAGTTTCTCTCTTAATCTCTTGAACGCACCCTCCGTACTAACTTTCCAGCAACGTGGCCCCTTCTTAATACTTAGGACTTGCAAATCCTATCCAAACGCAAGGTGTCGCAAATAAAAGCTACTGTGAAAAATCTAGTAATTAACAATTAACGTTTAACGGTTTACAATAGATCATGATGAGAAATGAATATTTTACAGAATTAGTTTTATAACGAACAACAAAATTACAAACAACAGCAATAAAAGTTACGTAGTCGCGTCCTACGAAAACAATATGTTTAAACAAAAGAAACCTGCATACGAGAAATAACTATTTTCAATTAAGCATGACACTATGAAACCATTGACACCACGAAACCTATGAAACCATGAAACCATAGACACCACGAAACCTATGAAACCATGAAACCATTGACACCACGAAACCTATGAAACCATGAAACTATTGACACCACGAAACCCATGAAACCATTGACACCACGAAACCTATGAAACCATGAAACCATAGACACCACGAAACCTATGAAACCATGAAACCATTGACACCACGAAACCTATGAAACCATGAAACTATTGACACCACGAAACCTATGAAACCATGAAACCATTGACACCACGAAACCTATGAAACCATGAAACCATTGACACCACGAAACCTATGAAACCATGAAACCATTGACACCACGAAACCTATGAAACCATGAAACCATGGACACCACGAAACCTATGAAACCATGAAATCATTGACACCACGAAACCTATGAAACCATGAAACCATTGACACCACGAAACCTAAGAAACCATGAAACCATTGACACCACGAAACCTATGAAACCATGAAACCATAGACACCACGAAACCTATGAAACCATGAAACTATTGACACCACGAAACCTATGAAACCATGAAACCATTGACACCACGAAACCTATGAAACCATGAAACCATTGACACCACGAAACCTATGAAACCATGAAACCATTGACACCACGAAACCTATGAAACCATGAAACCATGGACACCAGGAAACCTATGAAACCATGAAACCATGGACACCACGAAACCTATGAAACCATGAAACCACTGACACCACGAAACCTATGAAACCATGAAACCATTGACACCACGAAACCTATGAAACCATGAAACCATAGACACCACGAAACCTATGAAACCATGAAACCATTGACACCACGAAACCTATGAGACCATGAAACCATAGACACCACGAAACCTATGAAACCATGAAACCATTGACACCACGAAACCTATGAAACCATGAAACCATAGACACCACAAAACATATGAAACCATGAAACCATTGACACCACGAAACCTATGAAACCATGAAACCATTGACACCACGAAACCTAAGAAACCATGAAACCATTGACACCACGAAACCTATGAAACCATGAAACCATTGACACCACGAAACCTATGAAACCATGAAACTATTGACACCACGAAACCTATGAAACCATGAAACTATTGACACCACGAAACCTATGAAACCATGAAACCATTGACACCACGAAACCTATGAAACCATGAAACCATTGACACCACGAAACCTATGAAACCATGAAACCATAGACACCACGAAACCTATGAAACCATGAAACCATTGACACCACGAAACCTATGAAACCATGAAACCATAGACACCACAAAACATATGAAACCATGAAACCATTGACACCACGAAACCTATGAAACCATGAAACCATTGACACCACGAAACCTATGAAACCATGAAACCATTGACACCACGAAACCTATGAAACCATGAAACCATTGACACCACGAAACCTATGAAACCATGAAACTATTGACACCACGAAACCTATGAAACCATGAAACCATTGACACCACGAAACCTATGAAACCATGAAACCATTGACACCACGAAACCTATGAAACCATGAAACCATTGACACCACGAAACCTATGAAACCATGAAACCATTGACACCACGAAACCTATGAAACCATGAAACCATGGACACCACGAAACCTATGAAACCATGAAACCATTGACACCACGAAACCTATGAAACCATGAAACCATTGACACCACGAAACCTAAGAAACCATGAAACCATTGACACCACGAAACCTATGAAACCATGAAACCATTGACACCACGAAACCTATGAAACCATGAAACCATTGACACCACGAAACCTATGAAACCATGAAACCATTGACACCACGAAACCTATGAAACCATGAAACCATTGACACCACGAAACCTATGAAACCATGAAACCATTGACACCACGAAACCTATGAAACCATGAAACCATGGACACCACGAAACCTATGAAACCATGAAACCATGGACACCACGAAACCTATGAAACCATGAAACCATTGACACCACGAAACCTATGAAACCATGAAACCATTGACACCACGAAACCTATGAAACCATGAAACCATAGACACCACGAAACCTATGAAACCATGAAACCATTGACACCACGAAACCTATGAAACCATGAAACCATAGACACCACGAAACCTATGAAACCATGAAACCATTGACACCACGAAACCTATGAAACCATGAAACCATAGACACCACGAAACCTATGAAACCATGAAACCATTGACACCACGAAACCTATGAAACCATGAAACCATGGACACCACGAAACCTATGAAACCATGAAACCATGGACACCACGAAAACTATGAAACCATGAAACCATTGACACCACGAAACCTATGAAACCATGAAACTATTGACACCACGAAACCTATGAAACCATGAAACCATTGACACCACGAAACCTATGTAACCATGAAACCATGGACACCAAGAAACCTATGAAACCATGAAACCATTGACACCACGAAACCTATGAAACCATGAAACCATTGACACCACGAAACCTAAGAAACCATGAAACCATTGACACCACGAAACTTATGAAACCATGAAACCATTGACACCACGAAACCTATGAAACCATGAAACCATTGACAAGATGAGACCTTTGAAACCATGACTCCATGATACTATCATTATATGACATAGACATTGGCATATACTAATTAGCATAAATTCGTGCACCGTAACACCAAGTTGTACCCAAATGAGCAGCCAGATTGCGTATTCGACTTTTAGTTCCAGTGGGTCTAAAGAAAGATCATGTCCTGTTGGACCCCAGCTATTTTGCGTCCTCCTTTACTTACTTAAAGTAGTGACCTTAAAAAAGCAAGAGTTTATAAAGGAGAAAGTAGGGGTAGGTTAGTGTTTTTTTTGGTATTACCCCCTGTCTTATCCTAGGTATCCCTTACTAGCTAAAAAGCAAAATTTGTATATGAAGTGACTCTGCGGCCTCATCATAATCCTATACCCCACCATTGATGAGGTACATGTGAGACGAATATTGACGCTGAAACATTAAAGTGCAATCAAGTAAAATTTTGCTTCCAGTTTGTCAAGGCACTGTACTGAAATCAATCCATTTTCTTTATTTTTTGTTTTGTTTTGTTGTTTTTTTGCTTAAATTTTTATTTAAGCCTCGGCGGAAACATACACTGCTCACAAAACACGTCCCATGGCCCTCAAGACCTTTTATCGTCCGTTAGTCCATTTCCTAGGGTGGCCGCTTGCTCGAGATTTTCGCCTATTTTCTCTCCTTTCATTTTATTGCGCTTTTTTTTTTCAGGCATGGAAAAGTGAAGGAATAAAAATTGAAGGTTCTCTTGTAATGTACAAAGGGATAGAGTCTTGTCAGAAGTGCAGGAATAATCCAACAGTATCGCAAAGAAATCATGGTGCAATGTATCTGGTCCCATTCTCTCCAGACTGTCCGCATTTCGAGGTATGACACTGGAACGTTAACAGCGAGTGCTGCTGATGTTAACGTTCGATGGTAATAGCATGAATTCTCAAAATAAGGAAAAAAATGCCTATTTAAAAACTAAATTACTGTAACAGAAATAAAAAAACCGACCCAAAATGAGGGTAAAAAATATTGAGCAACTCATTGTGATATGAGGAAAATTGTATACCTTCCCCCTCCCTCCCCAATCAATGTGAAATCTCTAGAAAGATGGATGGAAACTAGTGTTTTTTTTTGGAATCCAAATGCTGAAGGTAGGGGAGGAGGAATCAAGGAAAAAATCAGAAGCCAACCAAAAACATTGTTACTTTGAGTAGAAATCTAAATCATAATTATCTGGAAGCGTTTTCCCAACCGCCCAAAGTTCGTCTAACCCTACCTTATTGCAGTTTAATGAGGGTGGTCACTTGTTCACTTGACCTGTATCCGTGAAGACTGCATGGCGTGTAACATAGTGGTCAGGGAGGAAATAACATAATTACAAAATGGAACTTGCTCTCCCTTTTGTGGTGATATGGACAAAAAACGGCTGGGAACTTATCGAAAAGAAACATTGCGCCATGTTCACCGACACTTATTCACCTATCATTTTGAAATTCCTAGCTGTGAATTTGCTTTCGTTTTCACGATAGGTTCTTATTCTTGAATCAGGGGAGCGGAGAAGCTTAGAGGTAGGAGTGGCAAAGAAGAATTATCGAAGCCATATTATACGTGCTAAACTGGATGGAAAAATGAATGTGTCGGATATCACAATAAAGGAGACATTTTCGATGCTGCCGTAGCGAAATCAATCGTCGCGTCGAAATTGAAGGTGAGCAGTGTTGTTTAATGCAATGTAGTAGATGCATCAGCTAAGAATTTTCGTATATTTATTGAAATTGTCAATTTCCTATGATATTTAAAAAGAGAAGGGTATAAAATTATCGCCTGTTATAAAGGCAGCTCACTCAGTGTCGACAGTGTCCTCAATTCAGAATACGGGCAGTACTGAGACCTTACTGATCAAACTTGAGCTTCATTTTGAGGGATTCAGTTTATATCCATTAGGGGCTTTCCTGAATGTAGTTACAAACTTATCGCCTTCTCAGTCATTCCACCATACTAGCTATCACCCTATGTACGGGAATCCGGATATCAGTATCGTGGAAATGTTTACCTTTGGAATCCGGAATACATCTCAAGGAATCCGGAATCCCATTAAAGAGTGCAATCCGGAAGACAGTCAATCCGGAATCCAAGTTCCACTGACAATATTCAGGATCCAGTACCTAGAATTAGAAATCCATGGCGTGGAATTCAGAGATTCCAAGACTGTCTTGGACACCCTTACATGGGGCGAGAGCAAAGTAAAATGATAAATATTTTAGTTTATTCTAGTCTCATTCGTATCATCCTTTTCAGATGCTATGGCTGATCGCCGCGACTTAATTGGGTGTACAGTAATGTTTGAGATGGCAGAAAAAGGAATTGTCCCAATTACATTCACAATTAATGGAAGACCTATCACCAATGTGCTTTTTTGTATTGCGTTTGATCAGGAGGACTTGAAACTCTTTCCATTTGTCAGCATGGGTCACGAAGGAGTCGTTGTCGCTGCTAGGGTATGTAATTTGCAAAAGACATTCATTTAGTCAGTAGCTTGGGTCATTTGATAGTCTTCTCACATGAGAGCGACAGTCACCCATCAAAGTTGGCAGTTTAGTCATTACTATAACAAAAAAAATTGGCTATTTTTGTTCTGATTTCAGCACTAATAGGTTCAGTGTAACAGGACGGTATGCGTCATGCCTAAGTAATTGGACAGTACGCACCATCGTAGGCGGGCACTTGAATGGGTCTTTATACTTAATATTTAAACTCTCGGAATATCCCGTGTTTTAATTAAGTTACAAAAGCTCAAAATGTCATAAATTTTGTTACAGTTATGATTAATTGGTAACAGAACTTCGTGTCGTCCAATTCGGTCTATAATCATACTCGTGTTACACAAATCAAACTCCCGCTACGCGGTCGTCCGACTTTGATAATCACTCGCATGATTACAGACCGAACTGGATTCCACTTATTCCTATTACCATTATTTTAGCTTGAAGCGGAATAATCTAAATCTAATTAACGGATCGATGCTAAGACATTTAGGACAAATTCAACCAGTTGGAATCGCCTGGAAATTGGCTGAAACATACAAAGAAGGCACGGATGGAAAAACTTAGAGAAAATTAAAGCAGATTGCGATGGTGTTTTTTAAAAAAGTCTGACAGTTTTTCAGATCTCTTTTTCTTTTTTTGTTGTAACGTTTAATATAATAACGTTGAGACATTAATATCAGTTATATCTGTTTTACACGAAGCTATGTTTTTGTCAGAAATTTCTAAGGTGAGGTTCCATGGCGAATAACGACACTTAATGAGCTAAACTGCAGTGACATAGCCCACTTTAACCCATTATCATTATTTTAATAATAATAATAATAATAATAATAATAATAATGGTATAGATCATAATCATCCTCACAATCATAATTACAGTCAAATTAATGATCCTGATCATGATCATGAACATGATAATGATAATTTTTTAATGATATTTTTTCTTAGATGAGGCATCGTGACAATATAGATGGCATCCCCTATCTCCCTGCAAATGAAGCAACAAATAACAAAAATATCACATCATTTGATTCAAAGTTCGGTCATCAAACTTCATCAACAGCAGGAAGTGACGCCAGAGATGTTTATCGGGAACTAAAGTACGCCAGTGCAAGATTCAGAAGAATCAGAGATGATATTCTTGACAACTTAAAAATGAATTTTAGACGATTGGAAGACGTCTTCAATGACTGGAATAAAGAATGCTTCGAAATGAGGGAGAATGATTTAAAGGCTAAGTATAGTAACCCCATTCTGCGAAAAAAGATTAAAAAATTTCTTGATGGCCTTAGAGAGATTGAAGAACTAGGGAGAAAGGCGAACATAAAGTTGAGTACAATCGTATAAACTTATGATTGAGTGTGAATCAGCTAGTTAAGTGCTGAAGAAACTAATCCAAAGAGTGCAATCCAAGTGCGCAAAGAGTGCAATCCGGAATCCAAGTAACACTGACAAAGATTCAGTATCAAGTACCTGGAATTAGAAATGCATGCCGTAGAATCCAAAACCCAAGAGTGTCTTGGACTCCATTGCATGGGGCGATAGTTAAGTAAAACGATAAATCTTTTAGTTCATTCTCGTCTCATTCGCATTCATCATGCAGAAACAACAGCGAAATTTGCGCCTGCCTGGGTCGAGCGAGGGGCTTGATTGTTACTCTGTTTGGCGACCCTATTAAGGAAGTAGTGTTAGTAGTGATTATTATTATTATTATTATTATTATTAGTTAACCTTTATGATTAATTTCATTTAATTTTTGCAATGTGCGAGCGTGCGGAAAAGGGGATATGGTGAGTGACACACTGAAAATTGTGAAAATTTAGAAGATCTAAAATTTA